GGCCACAGTTTCCCTTTCCCTGCACACAGGGCATGGAAGTACTACCAGTTAGAAGATTATATCTACTTGCTAGTGACAAGCACGAGAGGAAACTGGTTTTCTTGTCCCAGGGCAATGCAGAGGGAAAAAGTCACTCTCACTTAGCTGCTGGGCTTCCTACCTTTAATTTTGTTGGAGTGGTTTTCCTGGCTGTAAAAGTCCTTGGTACGGATGGATAACTTGAGGCTTGGAGAGTTTAAGGTGGTTTTGAGGCTTTCCATCAAAAAAATTCCATTTTTCCTTTTTTTTTTTTTTTTTTTTTTCCATCAAGAAAAATTTCCATTTTTTCATCTTCAGACTTGCATTTGAAATTGCTGATTGGAATTTGGTTCCATAAGTTATCTGGGAATAGTTTGCCATAGCTTCCTAGTCCTGAAAGTGCTTAGAGGACTATGGCTTGATAAAGACATTTATGTGACTTTTTGGTTCAGTATTTAATACTTAAGAAATCAGTTTTAATAGCTTTACTCAAGTAGGAATTTATCCCAGATGATGACGTTTATCTAAACACCACCCTTAAGTAATGAAGTTGAAAGTCATTTGACTATTCTACCACATTAGCATATTATTTTTAATTTTTTTTTTGATCACCTGCTAATCTAAAGAATCCCTCTCTCTTTAAATACAAAGAACATAACTGAGATTATGTGTCTAGAACTCTTACTGGTTTATATTTTGACGATATAGTGGACCTAGTAACAAAAGCATGAAAAAGGCTGAGGTCCTCAGTGCTATTTTTGCCTTTTTTTGGCCAAAAAAAAAGGATTTTTCAGGAAGGAAACTGGGATTCTGGCACTTGTGGAAGTGATAGGAGAAAAACTTAACAGCCCTAGTGAAGACAAGGGTACTAATCAGAACAAGAACTCCACTCAGTTTGACATCCTCATTTTCCAGTTCCCTTTTCTGCAAAAAATAGCTGATTTTGGAGAGGTCTAACTAACCAAAACGTGGCATTTCCTTTGTGATGATTCACTGCATGCTTTTGGACTCTTTGTCAATGGTCCAGTGTTTATTTGCTACCGTAATTTGTCATCATTGATGTAAAAAAAAAAAAAAAATTATCGATTGTTTACAGGCAATAAGAGATTATTTTTTGCAGAGGATGTGTTTGGTGCTCGCCAGTGAGAGAGGAGGGTTGTTCTTTGTAGTCTGAATTCTTCAGCTGGTCAAATGAGCTTGTGGTACTTTCTGAAAATGAAGTTTTGGATGAAGGTGTTGCGGTACCATAATAAAAAACTAGAAGGAAAAAGGTAGTTTTTTCTTTTTGCTCTCTCTCCCCCAGCGGTTGATAGGAAATATTCTAAGAATTCTCTTTCTCTTGGATAAAAGTTTTGAAATGTGAATATCTGTAAGCCTTTCGAATTTGGCTGCTAATGTTTTCAGTGCTTTCTCTCACGTTTTTCTGCATGGAAATATAAAATATATTTGGTTATTTGTATGTGCTGGTCCTTTCTGTGTTGTAATATACTTGGCATTCTTTTGGAAAATTCAGTTTGAGTTTATCTTTATAGTGCTGTCGATTTTGAAAGTGTTTGGAAGAGCATTAAACCAACTGCAAAATTTCCAGGAACAATTTTGGGCCCTGGTGGAGGAGTTTCTATATTTATTCAAAATCGCGGCCGTTTGCGTCGCCGAAACGATCAGGCGACACGTAAATACTGTGACTTGGTCCCTGACCTGTGAGCAGGAGGAAATGAAAGGAATGAAAAGAGATTTATTTTTTTTTTGATGTTGTTTACCAGCATTTTTCCTCCTAGAATTTTTCAGCTCTGGAATTCTTGACGGGCTGCTTTATTGACCATTCAAATAGAGTTTGTGGATTACACCGATGATCAAATATCACTTACTATAATTAAAAAAAAAAAAACCTTGGGGGAAGTTTGCTCAAACAGGTACTTTTGAGATCACTGCTAAAGCAGTGTGTCTTCTGCATCTTCAGAATTAATTTGGGCAGTTTTGCATTTCTAGTCCCCCGTGGTGGAGCTGCTGAAGGGAGCTTGTTGTAGGTAGCAAGGGAAGAACGCTTTGTGAAGGTACTGGAGGGCTTAAATATATATAAAGCAAAGAAATTTCCATCTCTCCCTCCTTTTCCCAATCTATCCTGTGTTATTTCATTGCAAAAATTGGGTGGTAAAAGAGTTAAATGAGGTTTTTTGTTTGGTTTCAGTGATTTTGTTGTTGTTTGATTGCTTTTTTTTTTTTGTGTTGCATCTGGACGCTTTATTTCTGTTTGCCACTATATTTTCATGATTATTTCACTGTAAATCAAGCATTTTTAGCATCGTGGCTCTTCAGTACAGTCACTATGTTCTTTAGATTTATTTAATTATTTCGTGGTTCTGTATTACGATCATCCAGACAGAACAATTGATCTGGCATTGCATAACAATTAACACTACGTTTACAGGCGTGTTTTACAACTCCTAGTTGCAGTGGAGCTTGCAGAATGTTGCAGGAGAGTAGATGCTTGATTGTTGGTCTCTGTTTATGTTTGCTCATTAAATAATAGCTCGTCAAATAAATAGTTCTTCATAAAGATAGTCCAGTGGGATGCCAGAAGTGAGTCGGCGCAAAACGACGCTTCGTAGTGGGTGATACCACCGGTTTGGAGATGGATTTGGTGAAAAACCATAATGCATCCCTCACTTTTCTGAAGTTTGAAGGTCCAGCTGGCCCCGTAAGCTGTTTTACCATTTGTAACGCTTAGCTATTCATTATTCTGCTCTTCATAGAATCATAGAATCATAGAATGGTTAGGGCTGGAAGGGACCTTCAAAGGTCATCTAGTCCAACCCCTCTGCAAGGAACAGGGATATCTCCAACTAGATCAGGTTGCTCAGGGCCTCGTCCAACCTGGCCTTGAACGTCTCCAGGGATGGAGCATCCACCACCTCTCTGGGCAACCTGTTCCAGTGTTCTACAACTCTCATGGTAAAACATTTTTTCCTAATATCCAGTCTGAATCTACCTCCCTCTATTCTAAAACCATTACCCCTTGTCCTATCACAACTGGCCCTCCTGAACAGCCTCTCCCCATCTTTCTTGTAGGCCCCCTTGAGGTACTGGAAGACCGCTATAAGGTCACCCCGGAGCCTCCTCTTCTCCAGGCTGAACAGCCCCAACTCTTTCAGCCTGTCCTCATAGGAAAGGTGCTCCAGCCCTCTTATCATCTTCGTGGCCCTCCTCTGGACCCTCTCCAACTGGTCCATGTCCTTCTTATGTTGGGGGCTCCAGAACTGGACGCAATACTCCAATACTCTTGCTTTCTTCCCTTCCCCCATTTTTCCATGCACGTTATCACGTTTGATTTCTCTGGCTGCAGAGGTGGGTTGCACGAGGGGTGTAGGCAGCACTTGTCCAAGTTCATAAACTTTCTATTTTTCTAGAGATGAGGTTGATTGATGTTGAATTCCGTGCGGTATAGTAAAACCCAACATTTTGGAATAGGAGGTATTTTTGATGCAGAAAGAGGTGATCACAGTGGAGAAGTGGAGTTGTAGTGAGCCTTCCTTACATTCAGGATGACCTTTCTTTTTTCCTCTGTCATAATTCAGAATTTTTTTCCCCTCTTCTGAAGCGCTCTAAACCAGATTGACATGTCTCTGAAAAAATGCAAACGTTGCTGGGTTGTTCAAGCTAGAAGAATATGTTTGTATCTATAGAAAGACAGGAAAATACACATTTAAAAAAAAATATTTCTTCGGTGAATCCTTCCTTCCTCGCATTCAAGGATGGTATGTTATAAAAACACTGAAGTGGTTGGCAAGCTCGGGCTGTTGCTAACAAAAACATGAGCTTGTTTTGGTGTTCTAATCCTGTGCTAACCCTCCAAACTGTTTTTTATTGCTACAACTTGAGTGTCTGTGATGTTTTCTTTCTCTCCGAAGTTACGATTCAAACACCGTTGTTGTTCTCCGTTTCCCAGTCGCTAAGAAAATGTTGGCTTTGTGACAGATGAGAGTATCTCCGTGTTGTTTGTGTCAATAGATTTGAATGTATTACCTGTTGGCATGCAGATGCCCATCTATTTCTTGTTGGGCAGCGGCCAGAATCATAGATAGAATCATGGAATGGTTTGGGTTGGAAGGGACCTCAAAGCTCATCCAGTTCCAACCCCCCTGCCATGGGCAGGGACACCCTCCACTCCACCAGGTTGCCCAAAGCCTCATCCAACCTGGCCTGCATGGTAAATTGTGGTGATCAAAATGGCCTTCAGGTATTAAATAAGCACATCTCGTGCTACTGGAGTTCCTCAAAAGTCTTCTGTTTGAGTGGGGCCGGACAGGGGGTCTGGTGGGGACTGGGACGGGGAGAAGGGGGGTCCGTTGTCACAAAATCATCAGCATCAAGGCCACTGGATCGCATCGCACCGTCAGCTTTCGTGCCCAATAAATAAAACCACAGCCTTTCTGGGATGGAAGGTGGCCCCGTGGATCCTGCGGTGTCATGTGTCTCTTAACGAGGCTATTTCTATCTTTAATTAGCTTTCATTTGATTGATTAGCGTCTTCAGCCGCGTGCGTGAGGTGGTGGAACCGTCGGAGTGCGAATTAAGGAACGGCGTTAACCTTGGAAGGGTTTTCCACCTTGAATTTCACGGAACGTGGATACTAGATACTCCAACATAAATTATAAATTTGAAAAATTCCATGTCAACGTGCTACTATTCCAACAGAACAGGATTTTTTTCGAGTGTGTCGTTGTCTGTAGCTCCAGAGCCTGTTTTTGACTAAATATTGTTGCATTTCTTTAATCCTTGTGTGAAAATGCGAGGTGATTGTGTTTTATTGGAAGAATGCCATGGATAGCGACTACATTTCTTGGGTTTAAAACATGGATGAAGTCACTTGGGCCTGATTTTTCCAGGTTTCGTGAGGATAAGAGCGTGCTAAGGACGGGAACGACGTGCCTGCTGGGATGTAATGGTTCTTATCTTCTTCACTGGGCAGGCGTGACGGCGGGATGGCGGGGAACAGCCTGGTGCTGCCCATCGTGCTGTGGGGCCGCCGGGCGCCCACGCACTGCGTGTCCACCCTGCTGCTCCTGGATGATGCCTCCATCATCGTCACCGGCTGCCACGACGGGCAGATTTGTCTCTGGGACCTCTCTCTGGATTTCGAGGTAAGGCTAAAAGTCTGTCTAATCTTAATTTCTTTGCCTTTCAAGTGCGTGGTGGTGTCACCAGCGTGATTTTATTCTTCGATGCTCCAGGATCTCCCTTGTCCTAGCTCCCACCCTCTCAGGATTGACACCACGCGCTTCCCACGGGGAATATTTTGGATCAGAAAGAGACATTTTTGCTCTTGAACTTTGTTGCTGCTTCTGCAGTAATTTATCATAGAATCATAGAATGGTCAGGGCTGGAAGGGACCTTCAAAGGTCATCTAGTCCAACCCCCCTGCAAGGAACAGGGATATCTCCAACTAGATCAGGTTGCTCAGGGCCTCGTCCAACCTGGCCTTGAACGTCTCCAGGGATGGAGCATCCACCACCTCTCTGGGCAACCTGTTCCAGCGTTCTACAACTCTCATGGTAAAAAATTTTTTCCTATTATCCAATCTGAACCTCCCTCTATTTTAAAACCATTACTCCATTTCTTTTTTTTTTTTTAAGTCATTCCTTCCTCTTTTCTGGAGCTGCTCTAAACTGGTGGTTGCTTTCAAGGTTAGCTGCTTAATGCTGTGTTGTGAAAACACATTCCAGTGATCAGAGGGCTGTACTTGGAAAACTTTTTGAGGTTATTACTTTATTTAACTGTTTTTTTTCCATGCAAACTGGAAGAGAAGAAAGCTAGCAGCAGAGATAAAGGTTGATGATCAATTGTTTTATGGCAGTGGCTGCCCTAGAGTTGAAATGTGTGAGTGTCCTGGAATGGAGTAGCAAAATAATCCTTTCTAGCCCCAAAAAAGCAGCATGCTTCAGGAAAAGTTTATCCTGAATACCTAAAAACCTCAAAGTGTGCAGGTTAACCCCATAAATTAAGTTTGTGTCTGGTATATTTAAAAAGCAAGAATGGGAGAAAGCGACTAATCCTTTCTAGAAAGGACAACTGAAGGGCAGTTTTCTTTTTTTAATCTTTAATCTGTGCATGGGCTTTATATATATAAAAATATATATATAATAAATATATGTACATATATAATTAATCTTATTTATGAAGATACAGGTTGTGAACTATACTTGATTGGAGGGGAATGGGGAGAACTATTTTTGCAGTAGAACACAACTTTTTCAGTCAAATTGAGCCGGATTCTGCCTATGATTTAAAATTATCGATGCAAAATGCATTTTTTAGGTAAAACCCTTTTTTTCCACGTGCTGTTGCAGCATTCTGTGCAAACTCTTTCAAGATGATGTATCTGCTGCTGTGCTAATTAAATGTGTGTGGATGTATTAACACATATGTATTAACACATATGTATTTATATAATGCATAAAATGGAAATTGGGAATATGGATACGTGCCTGTGGTATTTTTACTTCACATTTTATTTCCCTGATTCTAGATTAATCCCCGAGCTCTGTTGTTTGGTCACACAGCCTCAATTACTTGTTTATCCAAGGCCTCTGCTTCCAGTGAAAAGCAGTATATAGTGAGCGCATCGGAAAGCGGGTGAGTTTCCTGAGGATTTATTAATTTGCACATCTGTTAAATAATGGAAATTGAGAGTAGAGGAGAGATCAGGTGGTTTACACACACGATATTTTTTACTTCACCTAAGTAGATATGGATAGGGATATAATATGGATATTCCAGGTGATGGAATTTCTCCATTGTAGGTTCTGAGTGTGGTGTGATTTGGGGATTCATGGCCTGAAGAGTTGCCCCTTATCTTTGTAGGGAGGAAGAGGTTGTGTAGGTTCAGATAGAAGGACTGGAAATTCAAGTTGATTTTGAGTTTCCTGTGTCCAAATACAGTTCAGATAATCACTAACAAATGGTTCAAATGGTTAAGCTTCTCCCAGCGTAAGTGATTTTTAAACCTTGGAGGACTGAAATATTTTCCACGTAGTTTTAACCTGCCTTTTATATTTTAGGGAGATGTGTCTGTGGGATGTGAACGATGGAAGATGCATAGAATTTACCAAACTGGCCTGTACACACACTGGCATACAGGTTAGTACTTTGTGCAAGTTCCAGAGGTCCTGTTCTATATTGCAGGCATGGATAACTATAGATGAGTTATGAAAAAAGGCTCTTTTATTTCTTTTTAACTTTAATCATGACATTATACTCTTACTGAAGTATCTCATAAATGGTTTATGCTCTATCATCAAACACCCCAGAGCTGGAAATATGTGCTGTGCTTCAGCGTTTGAAAGAAATGTGTCAGAATTAATGAGAGAGGCTGGAAAGAAAGGAGGAAAAGGAGAACATTTTTTGGAGGAGTACTGCCAGGGGAAGGGGGAAGGCTGAGGGAGGCTGCTGTCACAGCAGGAGGTGGGTGTCCAGGGCAAGGATTGCCATGGGAAGGTAACAGGAGAAAAGGAGCCTCTGTAAAAAGCTCTCCTCATCCGTGCAGAGTAGTGATTTTTGAACATACCGGCATGAGAATACACTTAGGAAATTATGGTTTTGATTAAAAATGAAGTCATCAATGTCTCACCTGGAAGGTAACTTCTGTGTTTTTGTGACTATCCATTTAGTTCTATCAGTTTACAGTTGGGACACAGCGTGAAGGGAGACTCTTATGCCATGGACATTATCCAGAAATTCTTGTTGTGGATGCTACCAGCCTTGAAGTTCTTTATTCTTTATTATCAAAGATATCTCCTGACTGGATCAGCTCCATGACTATCATTCGATCCGATAGAACACAAGGTAATTATTTTTAGTGCTTTTATTATTTTATTTTATTTTATTATTTTATTTTATTTTGCCTGCCTGTTAGAGAAACACTATTTTCAACTTTTTCAAGAACTAGAATTTTACTTCTTGTGGTCTTGGGCAACACCCAGCAAGTGCTAACCTGTCCCACAAGCAAAGCGTACGTCGTTGTTTCTAGTCCCTGAACAAGAGGCTTTTTCTTTTTTCTTTTTTCTTTTGAATAAAAGCATTTAATAATTATGTTGTAATCCAGATGTTACCCCTTGGATTTCCATCTTGCACCAGGCTGGTCAGGCAGAAACAGGAACATCTGGAAAGTTTGGCTGACACTTGATAGGTTTGGTTTTAGAATCATAGAATGGTTAGGGCTGGAAGGGACCTTCAAAGGTCATCTAGTCCAACCCCCCTGCAAGGAACAGGGATATCTCCAACTAGATCAGGTTGCTCAGGGCCTCATCCAACCTGGCCTTGAACGTCTCCAGGGATGGAGCATCCACCACCTCTCTGGGCAAGAGAGTCTTCACCTTTTGTGAAGGTGATGACTCTAATGGAGTAATTGTGCAGAGATGCCCTTTGGGAACCCGCAGCCAAGAGGTGCTGGGGCAGCTGTACAGCTGGAGTTTGCTTCCCACTGGACTCCAGGCATAAGCAAGAAATCTCCTCTGGAGACAGTAACCCCCCGTGCCTTTGGGGAGAGTGGTGGGACAACCCACGCCGCCCGATCGCGATGCTAGAAACAGCTATGACTTCCATTCCCCCTATTTAATTTGAGCCCTAGGATTAATTAGGGAGAGATGGGGATGAGGCTGTAAACACAAAACCATGGAATCTGTGATGGTCTGGAACACCACTTTGCAAAGAAACGTTTGATTCCGAAGCAAACACGTCAGGAATGGTTTGATAAACTTCGATGTCAAGGTCCTCTCGATGGGTTTTGGTACTTGGATGTGCACAAGTGTGCACCAAAATGAAGGTGACCTTGTACTTAGCAGCCTGCTGTTTGTTTTTCCCCAGAGGACACTGTGGTGGCGGTTTCGGTGACTGGCATCCTCAAAGTATGGATAATAACCTCTGAAGTCAGTCGGTTGCAGGTAAGCACAGGCTTCTGAATTGATGATATTTCCTGTTGTGATGGAGGGAGAACTCCTGTTAATGCTGTTTCCTGTTCTTCCAGCTTCCTAATAATTCTGTGGTTTTTTCCTCTTTGCCATTTGCGAAAAAAATTCCTTGCTTTTGCTTTACTGCTTCTTCAAGTTACCAACAGAACTCCTAATGTGAGAAGGATTTCTCATGTTTGACTCCGAGAACTTATTTCAAAATCAAGAGTAGGATGATCTTCAATTTCTACAAATTTTTTTTTTTTTTTTTTTTTTTTTTTTAATTATTTGTACTATATAATGATTTGTGTTAAATATTCTTGTTCATATACAAATATTTTTCTTTTCCAATTCCAACCCCCCCATGGCAGGGGGGTTGGAACTAGATGGTCTTTGAGGTCCCTTCCATTCCATTCCATTCCATTCCATTCCATTCCATTCCATTCCATTCCATTCCATCTTTAAGAGCATAAGAAATGCAGTCGGAGAACTTAATCTTAAAAAAATTGAAGTATTGTGATAAAGTCACTTCCATAATGCCACCACCATAATAAAACATAACCTGGCCTTAACGCAGATATCTGTACTTAATTTTTATTACAGTTTTATTATATTATACTACGTTACTGCTATTATTAAATTTAATATTAAATTTTATCTAGTATTAAATGTAGCATTTTCTTGGAGAAGGATAAGAAGTGGGATGTGGAGATGCCTGGAGAGCTTGCTGAGCAGAGACTACAGTTTTTAGGAATGAATATTCATTATTAGGGATTATCTACAACTCTGTTACTCGACAGTTCCTGCCTTCCAGCTCGTGAATAAACTCCTTAGAGGAGATTTGCTCCACCTCTCATAGACCTCTGGCAAATTAACTGTTCACAGAAACCTCTTGCAAAAGATAATTTTGCAAGTTATTTTTGTTTGCTAAACTATTATATTTAGTTTGCTAAACTAAAAAAGTTTCGCAAATCTGGACAAATATCTTTAATCTATGAATAAGCTATTTCTTTTTAATGAACTTGTTTATTTCCAAAATAACTTATAATGCAACAGCAACACAGTTTGCATTAGCTTGGAAGACCACTGTGATGGATGCCTTGCTTTTGACCCCATCAAGGGACACAGGTGGTATTCATGATTTTTTTTTTTTTTGGTTTCGTAGTTTCAAATTTGCTGGTAATATGTTTGCTCTCAAAGGGTTTTCTGGAAACCCTCGTCATGCAGCTAGTGATGTTGTAGCTAACATCACATTTAACACTTACAAAAGGCAGCTGTGAGCAGTAGTAGTTACAAAAGTCAGAAACACAAGGACACAACTAAACCAGAGCTTATCACATTCTGGTCCGTTTGGGATGTGGGGAACCTTGAAGGAACCGTGGGCTGAATCTGCTTAGTCTCCGCTGGCTGTCTGGGTGCAAGGTGGTTCTTTGGCAGTGGTGGTACTAAATAGGCACCACTAATCTCCCCAGCTGGGGAATTTGTTAGACTTAAGTGACAAAAGAAGATACCACATGCTCTTGCAGATCTTCTTCTGAGGAATAATAGACTAAGAACTTCTGCAAGTGTTTGGTTTTTCTTTAGAAATTGGCCATCTGGTGTCTTAGGAAATGCTGTAGTCCCTGTTGTCATGTCCCTAAGTTCAATTTGAGCATGGAAAAAAAAAAAAAAATCAGTTGGGTATTTTCTTGTCATCTAATTTCCATCTGCATGTGGTTCTGTGTTTCGTTGTTGCCTGTGAAGCTCTGTTCCAGGCACTGGTTGCTGTCACCATCTGGGCACTTAACTGGTTCCTCTGTAGGACAGGGTGCTTGCTCCCCGTTTTGAAGATGAGGGAATAGTATTTCAGGAAAATACTGTCTTGCTGCAGAGGAGTACTCTGTAGCAGAGTAAGGACTTGTGATCTAGGATATCTCAGTCCCCAATTCTGCCTTCTATCTGCCTGACTATCCTGGTTTTCTCTGCCCTGTGCCGACAAGGTGGGTTTTTAGGGTGAACTGGGATAGAGTGGCTTTGCAGACAGGACTTTCTGTAAGCCCCCCGTGAATACCCACAGCAGGACATCTGCAGCCTTCTGTTGTTTCAGCCAGGTTTTTGTGACAGTGAGCCAAACTCTCCAGATGATGAGTGGTGTGGCTGTGCCTTCTTCCTTCAAGGTATCCCAAGTGGGAGTGAACGGGCAGGTGTACAGCGTGGGTTAGCTTGGGAACCAGTTTGTGTGTGCTCTGCATCTGGACAGGTTAGCAGGGACCTCTCTCAGTACAACCAGAAGAGTTTTGCTTGGAGGTGGGCCCAGATTAACGAAGGTACAGCACCCATGTGATGGGCTCGGGCTCAGCGGAGGGTGTTTGGCCAAGTGGTTAAGATCCTTGATGTTTGATAGAGCTGGATTGAATCTCAGAAGAACGTGGTCAGCAGGACTGAATCTTAACCTCTGGCCAAGGGTCAGGCCACAGCTGAAAACATCAAGACATGGTCATGCTGGTCAACACGAGGAGGGCAACGGGCTCGTGTGTTCAGCAGTTCACCCCTGGTCGCAGCTGTGTCCATATGCTAAATAAAAGGGATAACCTCCAGTTGGTCTTTTTTTTTTTTTTTTTTTTTGACTCTTCAAGCCAATTTCTCAACCATCACTTTTTTTAGTTCTGCTCTTGTGCATGCTCTTGGGACAGTCTGCAGACTTGACTATTGATTCTATGATTCTATGACTATATATCTCCCAGGAAAGTTGGTGTTCAACGTATGATACGCTCACAGGAGTAGGAAAATAAAACATAAAGAGTTCATTTCAGTTAAAATTTGCTGAAACATCGAGAAGCTTGTGACCTGAGGAAAGTTAAAACCACCAAGAAATGTTGTTTTTTTTTTTAAAGGTGACATTATTGCAGAAGTTAGTATGGCTCTATTTAATTTCAGATTTATGATTTTAAATAAAACACAGTTAATCCAATGTTGGGTTTGTTTGTTTGGGGTTTTTTTTTTTTTTAGGATACAACGCCAGTATTTGAAGAGGAGTCCAAACCTATTTACTGTCAGAACTGTCAAAGCGTTTCTTTCTGCGCGTTTACCCAGCGGTCGTTACTGGTGGTGTGTTCCAAATACTGGAGGGTAAGGCTGGCTGGAAAACACCTGCCTGCTTTTCACTGTAAAACTTGATTTAATTAAAAATTCCCAGTAAGGCATTTAGATCAAGATGCTCCAAGTCCTTTTAATGCATCTGTATTGAAACTGAGCTTAGCTGCTGTCTGGGCATTTTGATCTGCAATTGGTTAATGACTGACTTTTTCCTGTTTCTTTTCAGGTTTTTGATGCTGGAGATTATTCCCTCTTATGTTCAGTCCCCAGTGAAAACGATCAGACCTGGACTGGTGGCAACTTTGTGTCAGCTGATAAAGTGGTTGTATGGACCGAAGCTGGGCAAAGTTTCATATATAAATTACCAGCCAGGTAAGTCAGCAAGGAAATACCCTGTTTCTTTAGTGCTTGAGATAAAATCATGAGCAAGTTTGAATATTGAGTAGCTTTGGCTTTGATTTTGTTACCAAATCACATGGATGTTGCAGAAACTGGTATTCCATGAGCACATTTTAGAGTGTTTGTCTCCTAAACGTGTCATGTTGGAGCAGTGCTCAGTAAATTGTATTGCCTCAACAATTTACAAGTAAATTGTTTTGCCTCAACTGTCTCTTTTTCACTTCCTAATGGAGCTGTGCCATGGGAAGAGTTGTGTTTTGCTGAAATTAAATATAATTTCAATATTGCATTAACCAGGTCCAAATAAGGGAGAAATAAGATTTTGCTGTATGGAGTAGAATGTAAATGTTGGTTGTATTTTTGTAACAGGGAACTCTTTCAGCCCACTAAGGGAAGGCACAGACAGCTGAGTTTGGGCAAGTCAGTGTGAAAATATAAAATTAATTTAAAATTAGGTATCAAAGAGGTGAAATAAATGTAGAATGACAAAAGTAAAATGGAAACTTCTCTGGTTTTCTTCTGCCACCTTCATGACGTGCAAACATCTCCTTGTTCTGGATAGAGATACAGTTTTATCTCGGAGATTCTTGAATATTCTCACGTAAATATTTTTGAAGATTTTATTCCTTCCTCTTTGTTCTTATCCTCAGCTGCCTACCAGCCAGTGATTCGTTCCGCAGAGATGTGGGGAAAGCAGTAGAAAATTTAATTCCACCTTTATTGTACAGTGTGTTGGACAGAGCAGATAAACAGGTAAAATATATTTCTTTGGGATTTCTTTTAAGGAGAGCATTTCTCTTTTAGAGAGTTGAAACATGCATACATCATGGCCAGTTCCTCTCTTTCGACGTAGACCTTCAGGATTCCTGCTTTTCCTAGAGAAAGCAGGCATCTAGGAAGATAACATGCAATATCCCTGCTTTTGGTTTGGTTTGATTCTTGTTGCTTTTCAAATAAATGCAGAGATGAGGTCAAGTGAGTATTGAGTTCCTGTCTACTAACAGTTTATCATTCTTCAATGCCTGGAGACTTGTTGTGATGCTCGTGATGATTAGGCAATGACTGAGCCAGAGCTTTTAGAATCACAGCTTGGAATTTGAAAGCTTAAATCCTTGAAAAAGAAAGAAAATCTGCTTTTGTAGGCCAGAGTTCTCTGAGCTATGCTTTGTTTTTATATTTTATGTGTCTGCCATAAACTTACATATATCATACAGCAGTCTCAGATTAGTACTCACACCTGTACCACTAGGTGTAAGTAACTGATTTATAATGCTACTATTCCACAACTTTTGTAGGAATGCTTTTTTTAGTCTTAACTATTTAATCTCTTGCCAAATTTGGACACTGAAACATTTATATATTTGGTGATTTTATTCTTTATGTTGTTCTTTCCTGAGTAGTGTGTCTTCAGCTCACCATTGCAGTTAGAACGTTAACAATTTTAGAATATAAACATGCATGCATGTATAAAATATTCTAAATATGGAGGTATTTGGAACAAAACCAAATATATGTTAAATTTTTTTTTCCTTCTCTCTAAACCTGTGATTTGTTTTGTAACTAACCAGCTTCTTCTGATTGGTATTGCTGTATTTATTCTTTCTCCTATAAGAAAGATAAAGCACAAAGTAGCTAATTTTTGTTCTTTTAAAAGGTCCGGTGGATTATGTGGGGAAAGTAAATTCTGAGGTTAGTACATGCTTTGCATGTGTTCTGAAGTTGTTTATTTTTTTTAACAGCTACTAATATGTCCTCCAGTTACCCGATTCTTTTATGGACATAGGGAGTTTTCCTATAAACTGTTAATCCAAGGAGACTCTTCAGGGAGACTGTGTATTTGGAGTGTGCCTGATACTCTTGAACAACAAGATAGTGCAAAAGGTATACCTAATTAACAGTCTCGTTGCCAAGGCTTTTAATGAGCATCTCTATTTTTTTATTCTGTGTTTTGTTGCTGGATAAGGCACTGCTGCTTTTCTTACAAATCCTGGAAGGTGGTTTGTTTGGGTTTTTTTTTTCACTTGTTTGCTTCTTCTAAGAGTTATAATAACTTGATTTTTTTCATGTGTGATCAAAATCTTCATTTACTCTGAATATTTTCCAGGGATGAAGTTTTAACTGGTTTTTTTTTCCCCAAATACTAGCTATGGTCACTGCTGTCTGCCTGTTGAACTTCCTTTTGTAGCTTAATCATAGAATCATAGAATGGTTAGGGCTGGAAGGGACCTTCAAAGGTCATCTAGTCCAACCCCCCTGCAAGGAACAGGGATATCTCCAACTAGATCAGGTTGCTCAGGGCCTCGTCCAACCTGGCCTTGAACGTCTCCAGGGATGGAGCATCCACCACCTCTCTGGGCAACCTGTTCCAGTGTTCTACAACTCTCATGGTAAAAAATTTTTTCCTAATATCCAATCTGAATCTACCTCCCTCTATTTTAAAACCATTACCCCTTGTCCTATCACAACAGGCCCTCCTGAACAGCCTCGTAAATCATATCGTCTTCCAGTTCTTACATACAGAACCATTTAGCTTGGGAAGACCTTGTATTGTTTCCACGTGTTGTAGCTTCACTCACCTAGTCAGTAAATTAATCTCCAGAATCTAACTTTGACTTTGACCAAACGTGGTGTGTTTAAGCTTTGAGATCTTAGAAAACCTTTCCTGATTTCCATTCTTTCTTTTTTTTTTATTTAAAAATAAATCCTCCTCCCACTTCACCCCTTCCTCTTTTTTTTTTTTTTTTTTTTTGTTTCTTTTTCAACAGGCCTGCAAACAACAACTTCAATATCCCTCCAGGAAGCTTTTGATAAACTTACTCCTCGCCCTGCTGGGATTATAGACCAACTAAGCTTGATACCAAACCTCAACGAACCGCTGAGAGTTACGGCCAGCGTGTACATCCCGGCGCACGGGCGCCTGGTGTGCGGCCGCGAAGACGGCAGCATCGTCATCGTGCCGGCGACGCAGACTGCCATCGTTCAGCTGCTGCAGGGAGAGCACATGCTTAGGAGAGGTAGGCCAGTAAACTTTTTGGAAAGCACACTGGGATTACTGGGTGCGCCCGACACGAGGTACGCTGCGGCAAGAAGTAATTTCGCAAAGTCAGCGTTAAGGGGTTTTCCAAGTAGAAATCATGTCACTGTTTTCTTAGCAATTCTGATGCTTGCATCAGTTTGGGTGGGGGTCCCTGCACTGGAAAGCCTGGAATATTGGATTTTTGAGATGCAGCAGCCAACATGTGGCAGGGGACATCTCCTGTCTCTTCCAAAATTTTCTGGGTGCTGCGTTCAGCTGAGCTATTGTCGTGTCTGTGAAGATCTTTGTGGGAAAATAACACATAGAATCATGGAATGGTTTGGGTTGGAAGGGACCTCAAAGATCATGGAATCATGGAATGGTTTGAGTTGGAAGGGACCTCAAAGATCATCCAGTTCCAACCCCCCTGCCATGGGCAGGGACATCCTCCACTACACCAGGTTGCCCAAAGCCTCATCCAACCTGGCCTGGAACACTTCCAGGGATGGGGCAGCCACAGCTTCTCTGGGCAACCTGGTCCAGTGCCTCACCACCCTCAGAGTGGAAAATTTCTTCCTTAGATCCAGTCTAAATCTCCCCTCTTCCAGTTTAAATCCATTGCCCCTTGTCCCATCACTACATGCCCTTGGAAAAAGTCCCTCTCCAATGTACATATGAGCTTCAGTTATATACAAGGCTGCTGGTTGTACTGTTTCCTTTATAGAACTTTATACAAAAATGATTTTTTTTTCACAATAATGGGGTTGGGTTGCCTCGAAGTTGATATATTATTCCACAAATAGATGTTGGTGGTTTTTGGTAGTTCTTAGTTTTTCTAAGCATCTTTTGCAATAATTAAATCATTCTCATTCCAACTTTTTAACTCATGTGTTTGATCTCACTGAACAGAAGACTCACCGTTCTTGCTCTGCGCTCACAAAAATGATTTTCCTTTCGTGAATTTAAATTTAATGTCAATTCCAGAAGCATCAAATGCGTAACTGGCTTGCATGCCAGTGTTGTGGCTAGTGCAGAGTAAGATTGTGCAATTTTCCTGGTACTGGTCCTTTTGGTCATAATCTTGGATGAATTAATGTTTGATGAGAAAGGGAATTGGTTTTTTTTTTTCATATCTTTGGCCTTTTCACACTTTTTTTTTCCCTGGGAATATTTTTTGGGCGAGGAGACGGCTGGTTTTAAGACAGCTGAATTACTTTAAGGTTATACAACAAGACAAAAGGAATCATTCAGTCCATGTCCAGTAGAAAAATATTATGAACATTTTAAAAAACACCAGGCTAATTCTGTAAGAACTTATGTCACAAATTGTAGTATGTCTGGTTTTGGTTTTTTTCTTTTTTGATCAAGAATAGTCTTTTGGATTGTTTACTGTTCCATTGAGTTAATTTTCTTTTCTCTATCCTTTTTTTTT